GATCAGTGTGCGACATCGCGTAGCTGCATTTGGCTCAGTGAGAATGTGTCTTGGACGCTGAATTCAGGCCAAATTCAAAACATGATTCAGCAACTTTTGATTTGAAATCGAGATCCTAGAATGCTGTTTTCCTCGACAAATACAGCTGAAGCTGAGCTGAAATTGCATGAGGTTAGTTGTTTATCACCCTTCTTTACATTTTGAGAACGTTTGTTGCTTCAAACGAACAAAATGCACTAATTACAAATGATGGACTACTATTTTCGCACTAGACATGCTAGATCCTCTCAATCCGGGTTGAACTCAACCTTAGGCAAACCCAGTGCTGCCTCGGGTTGAGTGTTTTTATTTTCGAACCCCGCATTCAACCCCACATCGTTTCAAACTTTTTAAGTGCAAACCAAGCTTATTTCACTCAGTTACTACCTTTTTGAACCCTTGTGAGAGTTTCAACCCTGGGCGAAATCAATCGCAGGGTTGACGCAGAGTTGACGCAGAGTTGATGCAAGGTTTCAAATGTTCAAGTGTGGAACGCCAAATGTTTTCAACCCAGCATCAACTCTGAGATTTGTCTAGCGTGAAAAGGCCTTCAGTTGTGCATACCTTTGTCCTACACGTGCACGAAACAGTACGCGCGTGCCATTTGTCCCTCCCACTAGGACTTTTGAAAGTGGTCACAAAGCACTGTCTGTTCGCTCTACTTACCAGGCCCAATTGGCCGAGTCTTGGCAGTGATAATGGGGACGGCAACCATGGCGAGACCGTTAGCACTCCAGGTGTACTTGAGAAGGAACTGCTCCAGCATGACGTACCACAGACGCTGACGATAGATGAGACTCATCTGCTTCTTCAAGGCTTCGTAGCTACGCTTCAGCTGCGAATGCTCGACCTGAATTATGAAATGATGAGAATGAAACTGATCATTCCTACTTTCAATCTTTTGGAGTCCTTGGTCTATTGAATGGACATGTAAGCCTGACATTCAAACACCTTGGACATAAATGATTACAGTGATGCACATATTTAGAACACTAAAATATGCAAAGTAACAAATTTACTACTTGAGTCATTATAAGTCTCGAGTCAACTGCAACAGAAATGAGACATTTAAAGTCCACAAAGGTAACCTCAACTTAAACGAAAAACCAGGGAAACAGGAATACAGAAAAAAAAAAATGCGGAACCAAGTAATGCAAAAATATCCTGTAACTGAACTGAAGGTTACTGACTATTCACTTGTCACTTCATTTTCACACACATTTTCTCGGTCATTTTGCGAACTCAATACATGCACATGTACGGTGTTCAAACCATTTATCAGGCATGCAACTGGGAAGTCACACAAAAAAGAGGAAATTCAAATCTTTCCAAGACTTTGTACAGTGTTTTTCTATTTTCAATGGCACACATTGGAAGTGAAAAAAGAGGAAATCAGCTGATCCGAGGAAAAGTTGCTTGCCTGATTTATAAATCATTTCTTTAAATAAGTTCATCTGGGTTGTTTGTAAAACATGAATTAGGAGGTCATTTTTTTTCCAATCCAATAAAGACAATGGGGCATACAAGCTCCATAACATCTATGACCAACTAGTCCAAACCCCCCCCCCCCCTCGACGCCCTCTATGACGACCAAGAAAGAGAATAAAGGTAGTTGAGCTTTGGACATGGTTGCCAGTCTGACGAAGCTCCTAGCTTAGGAGTGAAACGTAACTAATATTAATACTTGAGTAACATCCACACTTTCTTTTGGATTGGAAAATTCCAAATTCACATTTATATGTTATTCAGGCCATGACCTGTGAGGGGGGAGGGGGAGAATAAGAAAGCTTAATATTAATACCTCATGTCCATCATAGAAAGCGATCTCTTCAGCATTAGCAATCACTCTGGAATGCACAAAGCGGAGGTTTCCCTTCTTATCAGCCTCATCGGCCACCAGTCGGCCGAACCTGGGCGAGGCAGCCCTCAGAATCTTAGCCGTGGCGATGAACGTCAGGCTGCCAATCAAGGTGGAGAAGCTGGTCCCCGAGTTATTCTTGGTAGCCAGACCAACGAGGGTGTAACACATCAGCATGATGTCCAGCATGGGCTTGCTGAGCTGTGAGTACAGGTGGGCCACGGACTCGCAGAAGGTGCTGATGTCTTCTGTCAGGTTCTGGTCCGGGTTGACCAGCCGCGTGTCCATGTTGCCAACGCGGTAGTAGGTCTGGTTCTTAAAGTACATCTCGTAGCAGTGGTTGACCAAACGGGAGCGGAAGGCCAGAGACAGGGTGCTCTCCAGGAAGCGGATTGTGCTGTTGACGAACGTCGCGGGAACGGCGATCAAGAGCCACTTGAGGATGTGCAGGAGGAACTGCATCATGTTCTTGTTGACGATCGCCTTCACCATGTTCCCTTCCAGATGAGCCACGTAGATCGACAGGAAAGTCCGGCAGATCAGAGACATGGTGTGGAGGAAGAGGAGTCCAAACTCTTTGGTCAGGATCCCCGGCATGATGATCTTGATCAGGCGGATCAGTTTGCGGTTCAGTTCTGAACTGACAGCGTGGGACGAACCAGCCTCGTCCTTGACGGTGTCCATGATGACGACACTGCTCCGCTTCATGGCGAGCGCTTTTTTGGACTCGTCGCTATGCTTGGAGGTGATGTCATCAAAGATGCTTTTAACTACCGAGCACGCGTATTGCACATGGTCTTTGGCACCATAGGCCACTACGACAGAGAGGGCCACACCAGCTAGGAGCTTCGGGTGTTTAAAGTTGGACGATTTCAGGTTCCTAAGAGAGTCCTTGAGTTGCAGAAGTCGAGACATCTTTGGCTTTTATGAAAGACGTAATTTGCAGAAGGAAGTTTAGCACTTGTTTGTGTTTTTTTTTCTCTTCAGCTTACACAGTAGTCATCAGTGTCAGGAATAAATGAGTCCAGATTTGTTTTGAAAGACACTGACGTTGCACACTGGTTCATGTATTTGCACTGAAGTTGGCAAGAACATTTTCCTAGTAATGCAAGCATTACAAAATACAAGTTCATTCACAAGGCAACAGGCACACATTTCCAGCTGCATCTATCCAGACCTGTAAAAAAATGGAACTGAAAATATCAGACAAATATCTTGTCTGAATCTCAGACAAATAAATACCAATCAAACATCTCTTCACAAAATTGTCAGTTATAAAATGTAGAATTAACTGTCTAAAACACTTCAACTTCAAGTAAACTACAGGATTGAGGGTGCTTGTTGATATTTATTATCGTTCCCTTTTCCTGTATCTTCTTTTGTTATTCATGGGGACTCACACACGACAAGCTGTGCTTTTTGTGGGTCTCCTGCATCGCTTGGCAGTGTTATTGCTATGTTATTTTTATCTTTATGAATCATAATAATTTTTAAGTAGAAATTGCTTTTCTCTGCCCTGCGCGGAGATAAAATAAAGCAACTGGCTATGCTGGCTAAGTAAAGTAAAATTGGTAAAACTTGTTACGCACGCAAGTCATTGTCGATTGGTCTGCAACAGTTATTAAAAGTGACTCAGAGAGAAAGGAAATGCATGAATGAATGATTCGAAGGTCATTCATCATAGCAAAAAAATGATGATATGAATCTGGGACTGAGAAACATTTCCAATTTTGTTAGGAAATTAGAAAATTTTCTTAACTCTCCATAGTCTTGTATTGTTGATGTACCCTAATGTGGCGCAGCCCCTAACGTGGCGCACTTTGATTTTTCGCCTGTAGCGCCTAGCTAGAGCAAAAGTTTTAACTGAAATTTCACAGAAAGTGAAATTTCATCAAGTTATAAACACTCCCGTTCATAAATCGCGAGTTTATTTACCCGCTACAAAGTTAAAAGAAAAAGTTATTTTGGCGTGATTTTCCGATTTTATTTTCAAGTGCAAAGTGAACCCTTTGAAAATGCCCCGAGAAATAAGAAAATAATTTTGTGACAAACATCTGGCTGGGTATGTAGGTAGAGGTAATAATGATTTATCAGAATTTATCGAGTTTACAGAAATTCTTAAATGTTAATTTGGAATTTTCCGAGATTTATTTAAGTGCGCCACGTTAGGGAACACTCCGCCAAATTGTGCCCAATTTCCGGACGCCACCGTTTTTTAATTTCGGCTTAAATTTTATGAAACCGAAATTGTTCACAGAGGTTAAACAGCAAGCATTAATAAGGTAAAAGTACCAGTATTTCACTGCATGAATTTGAAGTTTGTCAACAAAGAGGTTTGGCAACACTACACGAGGAAATTTGGGTAAGCTTCGAAGTGCGCCACGTTAGGGAACACGACTATACCAGCGCAGCGCGGCAATACGCGGGGCCTGCGTCGGGTGCGCGAGGCCGGGGCTGGGGGCCGGGGCTTGGTTAGGGCGATATGTGCCTTTCGAAATTCGATTATTTATTATTTATTCATGTATTGCAAAATCTTTACGATCGTTAACATACTCACAAAAAGGAAAGTGAACACAAAAGTATAATATTACCCAAAACAGCTTCCCAAGACAAAATTTATAAACACAAGGAAAATTTTTCCTGCCTCTATGTATTAAAAAATTTTGAGTGGTATCTCGTGTTACCATGCGAAAAAGATACGTGATTTAACAAGCTCTGTTAGGCGCCTGCCTATATGGCCTGATCCAAAATTGGTCGGCAGCGCCACCATTGTCAAAACTTGGAGAGGTTTTTTTGCCGGCGTACGAACTGGCCTCCTGACGTCTCTCAACTGTCTAATAAATGTGACTCAATAGGGTGACCTGTCTTTTTTTTTTCCAACCAAACTTTTGACGAATCGGCAACGCGCATTTTTGCTTCTTGTCGTCTGCTCAGTTGTTTTTGGCTTGAAAATAATACATGTAATAAATGCCAGGGCCATGACGAGATAGGCCTATCCTATAACTTATAAGTCCAAGAAACTTTTAAAAATAATTCAACAACACTTTAATTGAAGAAGTTTGTGGTCTGGACCTGATTGTGTTTCAACTTCAAGCCTGTCGAGATGAACTGGGTTGGTGGGGTCAGGTAGGTGAATTGGATGGCGAATTGAACATGGCGATGGGAAACTCCAGTTGACATGTCATGGTTGACATGGTCATGGTTGACATGGTCATGATCATGGTCGAGTCACGTAACTTAAAACTGTTGGTTGCTGGGTCAAACGGTATTAATTTAAAGGGAATGTACATCATTGGCTTTTGCTGTAATTTTCAGAAACGAAGTGGCTATCGTTACGGCACTCGTTGTTTAGCGCCCTCTACGATATTTTTTTGGTACGCACGCAGGTATATAATTATTTGTTTCCACACGTTTTATCGAGCAGTGCGCCAGCTCAGCCGATAGAGGGTAGGATTTTGCACCGCGAGGTTGCGGGTTCGGATCTCAGTTTTGCACTCGAATTTTTTTCCTTTTCTAACCTGAGGCTTTGGAGGATTTTTTTTAAAAGGGAAATAAAGTCCGAATTTCATAAAGTTCAAATTCACTTTTTTCCTTCTAATTTTATATTTTCTTGTCATGTTTTTTTATAAAAGTTGCCAGGTTGCAGTCTACCGTAACGATAGAAAATGGGAAATGCATTACGGCTGCCGTAACAATAGCCACTGCGTTTCAGAAATGAACTATTTTAGGGGTTTTAGTATTATTAGCCTACAGCACTGACATGACAATTGACAAGTTTGAAGTTTTGTGTTCGAAAATGCTGGAAAAACCAAGAAAAACTTTGGGGACTCACAAGGACAAGGTTAGGCTTAGGGCACTGATTCGTGGTCTGCGGGTAAAGCTGCAGGTTGTGGGTTCGAGTCCTGGCGGGGTCATGGTGCGTGTGCCCTTGGGCAAGGCACTTTGTCACTCATTGCTTCTCTCCACCCAGGAGTAAATGGGTACCTGTGAGGGCAGAGATGGTTATTGTGATTGAATTAGCTTCCTTGCGCCTAACACTAACAGGCTGCATTGAGCTGTATACTCCCCAGGGAAATGAGATGGTATTTGGAATGTTTCATGTGCCCAATGAGCAGGGGTAATAATGATGTAGCGCCTTGAGCACCAGTCCTGGTGGATACGTGCGCTTTATAAATATCCACTATTACTATTATCACAATTTTGTTTTCAATTTTTGTAGAAGTTTAACGTTAGCCTCGGTTAGGCCTAGGAAATTGTAAAAAAAAATTGGTCAAAAATTGTTGGCCGCAGAAATCTTTTTTTTGGGGGGGGGGACTATTTTGACGTTGGTGGTGCCACTTTCACCCCTATTATCAAAAGGCAACATACATATCACCAAGGTCAAATTGTGGGACTAAAAAATAATTACAAAAAAAAAAATTGACAACCTCCGGGGGGGGGGGGGGGGGGGGGGGGGGCTCAAGCCCACCGAGGGACCCCCCCCCCCCCCCCCCCCCCCCCCCCCTGGGTGCGCCACTGCAGGGATCATGGCCTCCTCTGTATAAATACTTTCCCTCTTCGAAAAACAAAGTTGATATTTGGAAAACACTGAACCAGTGCGAGGGAGGAACCTATCATTGTCATTTTATAGTAGGCCTAACCTGCTAACTCTAACCATTTTACTAGGCCTAATTGTACAATAATAAGTTTGATTCTTTTTTTACAGAAACAGACTAAAAACAAAAGATGAGAAACAACGACAAAAGGTTAGTAGGTCTACTAATCACGCAAATATAGGCCCATCATCTCAGTATTTTATGCCTTTTTAAAACTGTTAAACACACACAATTAAAGCGGACATTAGTTTGATGGAATGTTAAAAAGAGTATGACTGAATAAATGCTTCTGTCTTTCACACAGGATTTTTTTGAGAAAATGAAATACGGAAGTAGAGTGAAGAAATTGAAAAGATCCAGCTCCGGAAAGGAAGGAAGTCTTGGAGCAAGCCTGGACCTTCTTTCGCTACAAGCTGCAGACTTCAGTGCGGAGAAGTTCAGGAAAAGTGGTGTGTTGGGCCTAATAGTAATACTTAAATAGAGAGTTCGTTTGCACGAGTGTTGACAAGTTTTGTTTTAAATGAAAGTACAAAGTGTTGATTCATGCCTAGCATAGACGAACAAAGACCTGCCCATAGTGAGGACGCTCCATGCAAGCTCTGTACCTTACTTGAAAATCTTAAAACATGTATAAATTTGTGTGTTTCTACATTCAGTTTTGGAAAGAGAGGAATTATTTGATGGGCCCAGTTGTACATGTTTTGTTTTTTTGCAAATCATAATTCATATATAATCCACAAACAAGTTTTTCATAGCATTTGCACCTTTTGTTTCCTGTGAGACTGGGATTTTTTTATACATTATTTTAGCACACTTGTTCACAACTTTATGCAAGTGCTTAGGCCAAAACAAATAATAGTTCTGCTTCCGGTTACCCTACCTACCCTATTTTTGACAGCCCCTACCCTAATTGTTTTGGGGCAAAATGAGGGGAAAAAAACCATAATCATCAAATTCTACCTTTTCCCCTTTACTACACGCAAACACCTGTATATGATCGTACAAAAAAAAATTCATTACCTTCCTACCCTATTTTTAAATGCCATGTAATCGGAAGCAGAAATATATATATTTTTTTTACCTTAAGTGAAGCAATTTTCATTTCAAAATCAGAAGTGTTAATCTTTCCACTTTGGGTCACAAATGGGATTAACTTTTTTTTATCTACTAGACCATCAAACTGATGCAATCATTTGTAATGTATTTAGATAGCGTGAAAAGTACTAAGACTCAAGTGAAGAAGGTGGAACTGGACAGAAGTAGAGGTCTTTTCCCACTTCATCATCGCTGTGAAGAGTTGGAGCTTTCCATGTCACCTGGCGCTCCCTCCAAACTACAACTGCAAGATCCTGATCAAAGGTATCTTTACGGGCTTATTAGCTGATGGCTACTCTGAAGGTGGGACTCAAGTGGTAGTGTAAGACCAAAATTTGTACTGTCCCTGAGCACCCATACTACCACTCTCACAACAGGTGTTCCACATTACGACCCAAGGTCTTCACCTCCTTCTTTTCCAAGCAAAACACCCAAATCATATCAATAGTGTGATGTGCTTGCCATGGAACATTGAGTGCTTTCCGAAGTAGGCTGGTGTAGCAACCATCCACTAGTAGGGCCTTTTTCAGCTTTGATGTTAGTGTCCAAGTTACTGCGCCATATGTTAGAACTGGTTCCACGGTGACAGTAAACAGCTTAATCTTAAGGTCTCTCGGCAATTTACTCTTCCAGATTTTAACCATGGCGTTACAGGCCTTCATGTGCCTTTCTGATGTTAAATCCTTCTCACTGCCGGTAATCCAGGCTCCTAGATATTTAGTGTCCTAGGCAATTTCTAGGTCTCTTCCACCCAGAGTTTCATTGAATGCCATGGCCTTGGTCTTCTTGGCACTCAGAAGTGGACAGTATATTTACTGTTACTTCCCAAATGTGCCCAAATATTTTTTTAAAAGGAGTTGTCGAAACTTAAATTAAAGGCAGTTTTGAAAGAGACTTGCAGGCAGTAGTTCAGTTCACTTTATTTCTCACAGCACCACAAAATATTAATGACAACGACAATGTGAATTATAGAGAATAGCAGAAAAACATTTTGAGTAAAGTTGAAGATAAAAAAAACAATAACTACGAAAGATACTGTGGAGGGACCCATAAAGAAGCAGAGCTTGTAAGAAATGGGCACCTGAGCATGTGTGTGCATTGAGCTGAATAAAGTTGTGTAGTGAAAACCAAAGGCTTCTCAATCCTATTGAATGAGCACCCATATAAATAGGGTCAAAAATCATTTGTATACTGAGGGTGGTTAATAATTTGTCATGCAGACTTTTTTTTATTTAGAGAAATTATGATATCTTCATGCTTATGATGCTATTAATAAATTCAAACAAGGTGAATCTCTCTTCAGAACAGGAAAGTTTTCGTGACAATTTTGATTCGCAGATTACTGTTGTGGTGCATGATAGGTCATTTCTCTTTAGATCCAGATTCACCGTTATTTGTATAGTATATATTGCCTGCAATACATTTATATGCCTTAATTAAATGGATGGAGTGCTCCGAGAGATTTGTTTATCTCATTTGAATTGTAAAGGCTGAAATACCAAAATTGAGGGGTTTTTTTTCACAGAAATACTGATTATCCACACTCTAAGGAGCACATGCAAACAGCTTACTCATCTTTCACAACACCATCAGAACAACTGGAGTATGACACATATGGAATGAAAACTGGAGAGGCCCCAAAGGTATTCAGCAGTTTCTGTGTTTTTTGCACTGAGTGTTGCAATTTTGCAACATCAATTTTCGAGATCCCAATAAATGAATAGATACATTTAGAGCCAAACTCATGGATTTGTTGTTTTTATTGAAAAGAAAACAGCAAGGAGGTGTAATAATGAATGGAGCTGATCACAAAATGTACCGAATTAATGTATATTTGAAATCTACATGTGCATGTATTAGGCCAAAAAAAAAAATAATCGGTCTCTGGTCAGACCGAAGTTCCGGAATTGATGCGACGACGAATTTTTTTTTGCTTTTTTTTTTTCAAGCTTGTATTGTACAGACAAGGTGGGTACTATTTTGCTTTTTTGTGTCCTCATTATACATTGGTGTCCTCCATAATTTGCCTTGGTGCCCTTTATCATTTGCCTTGGTTCAATTTCCCCATTCCTTGGTGCTCCTTGGTACAAAAATTTGAGGAGGCGCGGCAATAGAGGGCGCTGTTGTAGCTTCTGTGTTAATTTGAAGAAAAAAAAAGGTTGACGCACATGATTAAAATCGACGCGCGCGCTGACCAGAGACCGAGTATTTTTTGGGGGGGCCTTACACAGTGTATTAAAAGACAATTTAAAAAGGACTGCAAACATCCAAAATGAACATTGCACATCGATTTAAACTCTTTTGCAAAATATGTTGACAATTGCATCCAGTGTAAAACTCATCTGACAAGAAATTTCTGGAGAAGTACTATAAAAAGGTATTATTTACAGACGGAGTATAGTGATTGTCAGAGTTATCCAAGCATTCAGTCATCAAGCCAGTTTCACAGCACCCCTGTGGTAGAGGAATTCCCACAAGCACCAGTACCACAGCAACACCAAGGCAAACACTTTGAGGATTTGTTCTTCAGCTGCATACCGAACGATACCCTCACCATCAAGAAAGAAGTACCTGATGATCTGTCTGTCATCAGTGATGAACAGCTCAGTGAAGAGTAAGTGTACATTTTAATACTGGAAAGCACAGCTCCTAACATAATACAACATTAGAGGACCAAGGGTTTTGTTTTTCTGTTGGGGGGGGGGGGGGGTGGGAGGGTGGGGGCAGGATTGGGGGGACTAGGGTGGGGGGGGGGCCACCCTATGAAGCCACCCCCCGGCCTACACCCCGTTTTAGCCGACTTAGCCCCTTTCCCCCTCCCTTTGTCCCATTTGAGTTCCCATTTAAAACTAAAGTTCTAGCCTCCTGAGGTCTGATTTATGCATCTGCATGTGGGCTGTGCACATGGATGTTCACATGACCTCAGAGTAAATCGAAGCTCTCTGGCAGTGATCATTAGAAACTGTTGGGGGTTTATCAGTGTAACATCTGTTGCACTGTAACACTAGCATATTTTTCTCTCGTAAACACCAGAAAAGACACAATAGTTATTCAGTCAATTATTGCAGCAAATATATTCTACACCATTTAAAAACTAGAAATCTCACTTAGTTTTCTTGAGTATGCAACACTACTCTCTCAAAAGTCGCAAAATGGATGTGCAAGGTTTTCAAAATGTCTTCTTGAAATTAATGATCATTAGAGAAATCAAGGTTGAAAAGGATGACACTATACTTTTTCCCACAGATAAATATTAAATTTGTTCATTTCATAAAAGTATTCTAAATAAGACATCTAATCTCTTTGTAACATATTTTTGTCGGCTTTACCATCAGATTTGACTACAGCCCACTGTCATCTATCCCATCTGAATCAAGTGCAGCATCATCCCTCATCATGCTCAGTCCTGATTCCCAACCGACTTTTGAGGTAAAGCACTACTGCCCTCCTTCCAGCCCAAAGATTCATGTGTGTATCAATCAGCCTTTTGAGATAGAAAGGCTCTATTAAGAGTGGTTAAACTCTTAACGCCCCCTATTGTTTCAGCCATGTTTCAAAAAAGGCTATAAAGTATATGTATTTGAGATATGGCTGAAACAAAATGCTACCCCCTTCCAAAAATAGAAGAAAAAAAGCTTTAAAGGGGTCATGCAATGAATTTTTATTAGGAACAAATTTTGTGCAAATTTCTACTCCTCTTAAATGTATCATTGAAAACTATTTCACATTTTGTTAATTTTACTGAAAAGTTCATTTTCAAGGATAGCATTACAAAATTGGATTGCATGGGCCCTTAAATCAAACCCACCAGGACACTGGAAATCAAGTCTGAACATTTGTCATTTCAAAATGTCTCACACTTATATGACACTTCACAAATTATTTATTTGGTGTCCAATTGTGATTAACCCATCAGCCTCTGGCCCAAGCTGCCCTGCCTATTACTCCCTGTGGAGCCCTAAAACTGCCAAAGTACTCTATTGTTTTTCACTAAGTACTGTCTCATTTTGCAGTTTCAAAATTCCCGCAATGTATTTTGTGTAACTTCTAGCGGCCAGTCATGTGTTGTGCTTGCTTGGTTATGCAGCGCCCATTTTCACTTCATGCACGCCAACCTTGTGCCTGAATATTTTCAGTTCTGAATATTCATGTTGGGCATATTTACGACATTTGCATTGTGATCCCTGTGTGACAATAGAAACCAATTAGAGATCGTGTCTTAGAGAAAGAAGTTGTGCTTTGGCAGCTGTACTGAATTTTAATAGTGCAATGCATTTCAAAGCAATAGTCATCTTACAAAGTGTGCCAACCCCACCACACCACTGCATATAATAAGTTGGATGACCTTCGATTATTATCGGATGAAGTTCAAGATTAAATATAAATAATGATGCTAAATTGAACCTGTTGAACCTTTTTATGAGATTGATAGCTGTACACAAACTTTAGAAACATTTTTTGATAACATGATCTATGATAGGGCACTCATTAAAGGGAAAATACGACATTTGCAAACATCAAAAAACGAAATGATCAAAATATCACGAAATACCTTACTAATTGTTAGGGACTGACAGTCTAAAGAATCCTTTAAAATCATGGCTCCTGGTGGGCTGACATTTTTTAAGAAAAACTGTATTTTTCCAACGCTGGTCGGCCGACCAGCGTTGGAGAGAACTGGCTTTTTTCAAAAACTGTTCTTAATTTTTCATATTTAGTTATTCTGACTTTTCTTTGCAATTGATCACATACCTGTGAAGGGGTACAAGCCTGCTAGACTGATTCTCTGACCTTACAATTCCCCAAAGTGTATTAATTGCTTCGTTTCATCTTAAGTGGGGTCAGGGAACCAGACTACAAGAACATGATAGATTTTCTTGGTTTTTCCAGCATCTACAAGCCCAAAACATGAAACAAGTCAGTTTAACAATATTTAATATAACATACTAATCCTCCAATCCATTTATTTCTGAACATTGCAGCAAAAGCCAATGTTGTACATTCCCTTTAATGAAACATTCTGTTGCATGGATTCAACCAAATACAACTAAATACAATGTATTATACAATTTAGTACATGTGCTAATGATTTAAATGTTTTAATTTGGGAGTCACCATTTTATATTGCCATCACGCATGGCGTTGTTTTGAAATAAATAAAATGTTGCCATTTTTGTTGAGGTTATATTAACAACTGTTTGCGGTTTGTCATGATTTTAAACATTCTACTTTTCATTTCTCCAGCATGACCAGATGCCAGTTCATTCATCCCAACCAGGACTGCAATTTCAAAGTGGAGGACTTCACTCTAGCCCCATTGATCTCACACAATATACCATCGGTCCAAGAGACAATGAGATGACGAAACACCCCATCTCAGACACCAGTCATAGTGAGGACTGGGTATCGGACTCAAGCCTTACAACTGTCTGTGATCATTACGAAGAATCTCATCAAGGACAGAGGCAACAGGAGGATTCGGTGTCGACAGTGCAGCAAGTCGATTTAATTTGTGGAGAGGAGGGAGATTTCTTGTCGCCATTCTGCAAACGAGCTAAAGTGAGCTCGAGAAAAACAAGCCAGGAAAATCCTGCAAGTCCTGAAATATCTACCAGCACAGCCAGTCCTGTAGACTTATCCAACACAATGAACAGAGGAAAAGCCACAGAAGAGCAGAATTCTTTGAAGAAGGAAGACGTCAGGAGTGTATGCACAGAAGCAAACTCATTCAAGTGGAAAGCATTTGTATCAGGTAAGTCAAAAGAATGACCAGGGTCAGTTTACTTTAATGAATATTAATCAGGCTGTGAATGTGTATGCATTCATTTCAGCTTCAGTCAAATCTTAAATCTGTCACAAGTCACATCATACTTCAAAATGACTTCAAACACAAGTCAAGGTCGCAAAGAAATGCCGTTGTCATATAAATTTTCATTTGCGTTGAATAACTTGTCACTTGCTAGAGAAGTTCTTAACCCCAAAAAAATTGCCAAAATTGCCAAGTTAGATATTATAAATGTGTATAAAAGTAGGTGTGATGAGACCGTTTTACAAAGTTCTGATTTGTAGTTGGCCACTGTTACCGGGAAAAAACTCGGGCAAGCATTTTAGGTTGATGAATTTTATCCCATTAAATTCCTTTTCATTTATTTTGAACTTTGCACAGGTCAGGCTTTTAGAGAAAAGCCAGTGATTGACAATAAAGACAGGTAAGTATAATTAAAATCAAACATTTCTTAGAATTGCATGAACATTTTTACATTCTGACAATTTCTTAAAGCTTTTTTTTTTTTTATACATGTGCATACTGTATAGCCACAAATAATTATTCAACAATAGCGACGTAATGTGGCTTCTGTGAACAGGCTTCCATGGTTTTTTTTACTTTTTTCCACAACTTTACAGGATTTGAACAGCTTTAGACCGTTGACATTAATTCCGTTAATGCAAGCTTCACACCAATTTAGGAATTTTCTTGAATCAAACTTGGCTAAAAAAATGCTTCCTTTCTAGACATTCAGTATGCAGGGAAAAAGAGTTGTATAATTATGACACTGTTTTCAAGTCATGAAAATTTGTTACAATGGTCAGTTCACATCTAATTACCACTGTTATTTTCAGTTATCTTTTTATAATTGGGGGTCTACCCTACCTGATGTTCCCCAATACTTTGTTCCCCAATACCTATGTTCCCCAAAACCCTTAGGGTGAGGGTTAGGGTTAGGGTGAGGGTCAGATGGTTAGGGTTAGGGTTGGGGGACATCGGAATTGGGGAACATAGGTATTGGGTATGCACCCTATAATTGTACTCCGTTTCTATCTCTTACTGTTTAATGTATGAAACAAATGTTCTGTGGTTCTGCTGAATTGAAAAAAAAATACAAACCAAACTCCATTTTATTTCGTAGACCAATTACAAAGGCTCCTGCAAAGGCAATGAGCAAAGTTTGTGAACAAGTTCTGAAGGAGGTGAGTCACACGCACTTTTGTACCAATGTAATCAGATCAAATTCATGACGGAAGCATGGTATAAGAGATTGGAGATGAGATAATAATCACAAAAATAAATGATGTTGACTTAGTATAGGTGAAGGGATTTTTAATATTTAAGTATTTTCAATTTTGAAATCGTCAGGGGGTTGAATTCAATATTTATATGTTCTGGATTTCGTTGGATTAAGTTAAATGCCGCCCGTTTATTCATTTTTTGGTGCACTTGTATCAGATTCCTATTAATCATTAGAAGAAACTATTTCAATACAAAAGGCACTTCTTGTTAAAATTGTGGCATGCTTTCAGACCTTGTTTTCTTTCAATGGAACAAAAACTTGATTAATATTGCTCTGTCATCTAGGTTTTGCAGTTAGACAACGACTTGTGTCAACAGAGCCCACTTCTACAGGGTTCAATTTCACAACCAGGTACTAATTAACATCACATAAACCTTTTTTATTAACATTTATTTGACGACTTAATTAAAAGACTGGGCAGCATGAGTCACTGTGTGTACATGAAGAAGTCGGATCTGCTTAAATTTGTACTTTAATACCCTGAATTTAGCACATTTTTGTGTACAGGTATGGATTTACAGAAGGACTTATTCATCTCCCCTCCCCCCCCCCCCCTAAAAAAATGAACAATGAACACAATTAATAAAATATGTACATCAACAGAATGGAAAAAATACCTAACAGAGTACAAACAGATAATTTCCTTTATGATTTCTTGAATCCTTACTCGTATGTTGATGTTCTCAGTGGCAGAACCAATAACGTGCAGGTATATCTCAAAGTCATATGTTCACAATTCTTTGTTTGAGTTCAAGTCCAATGTGTGTGTGTGGCATTTGGGTTTTTTTGTGTGACTGGCTACTGCTTAAAAATTAACGATGGTTGTCAATGATTATGTACGAAATGAATGAAAATCAATGAAAATGATTAAATAAACAGAGCACATTCAAACAGATAATATCCTTTTTAATTTCTGGCATACGCATCCCTGCCTAGTATATGTTCACAAATCTATGTTTGAATTCAAGTCTAATGTTTGTGTGGCATTTTGATTTTTTTTTCTGGTGAATGACTACGTACTGCTTGAATGATGAAGAATGGTTGTCAATGATCATGTACGAAATGAATAAAAATCAGTGAAAAAATTAAGCAAACAGAGCACAAACACATAATTTCCTTTTTAATTTTTTTTGAATCCGCACCCCTGACTAGGAGATGTTCACGTTCACAAATCTTCGTTTGAATTCAAGGCCAGTTAGGCTATCAGCTTCGGTCCAAAAACTGGGCCACCGGCATCAAATGATCGAAAGGAGCAATGCTCATAGCGATTTTTGGCAAGGTACGGTATGTACATCTAGAGTTGAAAATGTGTGATAGCTTTGCAGTGTGAGCGGTGGCAGTTTTTTGGGTGTTATCACTTTGAATTTTTTTTCTTCAAAATGGCAGCCAATATGCTTGACTCGGATAAATTATAATGTGGTAACACGCATGTCTTGCCCGCCATTTTATTTTTTAAAAGTGAAAGCACCCAAAAAGCTGCCACCGCTGCAATGCTTTCACATATTTTCAAACTACAGGGGTGCATACCTTGCCAAAAATCACAATGAGCATTATTCCCCTCATTTGATACTGACCAAACCCCCGGGCTGATAGTCTAAATATTTGTGTCGAATTTGAATTTTGTTTGTGTGTGAATGACTACTGCTTAAATAATGAAGAGCGGTTGTCAATGATTATTATGTCACATTTTGTCTTTTTTTTCAAATTCACATGGCAAGTTGTAGGATCCAAACTATCCACCAAGCTTGAAATGGAAAAATTCAGTAGCCAAGTCACAGAGGTGAGACATGAGTAATTTGTGTCATTTTGTTTTAAACTAAGTTACTTGCGGTGTTGCAGAACTCAGCTGACACAATAGAGCTATATAATTTAATACAGCTCTGTGGCTGACACCCATTTCTGACTCATGGCAAACATATCGCATAGTCAATAATAAAGGAACTGCACCTATTTTATTGACCGTTAAAAGAATATAATGAAATATCTCATCATGAACCTTATCGAGATATGTACTTGTGGTTTCAAGTGAAATACCAAGTTAACCCGTTACTATATTAATTTGTAAATAGTGCGGGTATGTGCTTGTGCTAACGGACCTCTGAAAAAAAGGCTGTACTCAAAATTGTTTTTCTCAACCATACAAGAATGAATGCCATCATCTACCCGTATATGTTTGCTATAGATGTCTATCATGTACTTCACAAGTTCATTAACACCAGTCTTTGTTGTATACATCTTTGCAATTTATATGTAAGATATTTCAATAAAATCATACCTTTAGAGAACATAGGCCGACTGAACTTGTGGAGCAGGAAGCAGTCCTTCACACGCCGTTTTCACTACAAATAACCTGCTTTTATGGTGGACAAATCACATGTACAATATGCCGAGCAGCATCTCGCTTTGTGCTGTACAAGCACGTGGCGTTCCTAGTGGGTGTACTTCAAAGGTGCATGAACTTTGGTCACCTGATGATAATTGTGATGGCAGGGGCTTATCTCTCTCTTTTTACTGTCAAAGTCAAGTCACTCGATTATAAAAAAGGGCAGAGTCAGGGTTCATTCTGTTTAACATGTTATATTTTCTTTGGTCGTCATGCTTTAGGTATTTAAATTCCGTTTTAGTTCATTTCAGGAAGGGCTCAAGAGCATTCAGTAGTAAACATCAGTAAAGATTATAGTTATGGCCTGGACAAATGAAAGTCAAGAAAACTTAAGAGCAAACACTGAAAAACAGAAAAATCAGACATGATCGTTGTATACCTTAATGGACTGATTATTCTTATCACATATCCATTGATGAGACGCACAGTTCTGCATAGGTTAAGCCAATATAGATCCTGATAGGTTTGGAGTGGGGCTCCTGTATCCTCTTAGCGTCATTTTCAGTTTTGGTTGCAGACCACATACACTTTCTTGGCTATTTGTGGCAATAGGCGTACTGCTATATGTGTGTGTACATTTACATACATGCTTGTGTAAAAGGACGTTTTATATAAAAGACTGGAGATTAACGATTTTTTTTGGTTCTTTGTTTTGGTGTGCACATTTTATTAAATTGTGTCCACATGTGCATTCATTTCATTTGTCAAATATCAAGGGAACAGGCAACAGACATTCTGTACACTCGCCTGATCAACAGGTGCCTATTCAGGGCATAGAGCCTCAGATGGAGTCTCCAGGTTGCTTGACAGTGGAGAGAAGTAAGCTGCAAAAAGATAATAATGCAGAACCAATCCAAAATGACAAGGAGAGATGCGACAATAAAGAGGAAGAAGATGGAAGTCCACGTTTGGTGATGTCTTGTGATGTAAAACCTGAACGGGAAGGCCTCCCGGATGGTGCAGAAACAACATATGAAGTGGCTGCAGACGGGATACCAAGCGACAAAAAACATGACATAGAAACATTAGAGTCAGGTGAAAAACAAAATGGTCCCCCTGCCAGTGGCCCAAGTAGGATGAAGTACGAGGAAAAGGCCACACAGTGCAACATCCTCATCGTACCAACAGAGGACAGGGCAACTCTTTGTGAAGTCAAGGACTTTACAAATGCAGCTTCGGCCTGTGGGTGTAGCAAAGCTGAGCAATCGTTGACTGCGAGGGGTGGCACAGATAAACCAAAGCCAATGTGTGATGCATACGACGAGTGCATTGTTTCATAAAACGTTTAACTTAAAACTAAACTGAACAATAATCTAAGTGACAGTGCCATTAATTTAGTATTAAAATTGTACATGCAAGAAACATTTAGGTGCAATTCAGTTAATGTTACAGTCCTACTGTGTCATCTGTATTTCATTCACGCAGTCTAAATATTTTAATAAAAAAAATACTTAAAGACTGGAGTTTGTAATTAATGTTTATTTCTATAAAGTAATCCTATGATGAAATCCTAGATCTGTCTTACTTAACCCACATTAATTTTGTAAACATCTTATAATACTTTAAGACGTATATGTGTGATCTCAGATAAATTGGTACATTGGTATCACATGAAAAAAAAGACATAATTGTGCAAAGCTCACTGTACATAAAACAAAGTTTAAAATGTTATGATATATTAATAGATTTTAACGTGTTATATTGTCAGAAAATAATTAACAATCGATTCGCTTGTGACTTCCAGTTACTTGTTCATCGTGTCGTACTTCGGTCAAAATCCTGAGTTGTGCGTCAATAGGTTTTTATTGGGAAAGCTTTCGTGGATGCAAATACACAACCAGTAATTATTGCTTGACTGACTCCGTCTGACGTGCAAAGTTTGATCAGGTGCTGTAGTGCGGATGGGTGGGGGAAGTCATCAGGCGGATGATTTGGGTGTGAAACCCCGTTCCTTTTTTGTCAGCAAAATCAATTTTGTCCACAAAAACACGTGACTGTCGTTAAAATCAAAGACGGCCAAGATAGAACAGCGCCACTTACTGTCTACGTGCGAGTTCGTTTACCTAGCCAATATATTCAACAGCGCTCGCTGGTGTCAGATGACGTTCGGATTAAACGTATGTTCAGACTCCAGCTGCAGAGAGGACGAAGTTCAAATGTCATACAATCGTTAATTTACATTGCAAGCGCAACACATTATAATAACAAAAGCATTATGATTTGGTGATCACGTGATCATCAGTTATATAAGAGGATGCTGGGCTGCATCTAGAAGACAGACGAAGAAAACGGACGATTTATTTTAGAAGAGAGCGCAGAAAATAAGGCAGCATGGAAGAGATCCTGTGGCTGCGTATCTTCAAGACCATCGTGGGTATTGTCGGCATCTTGGGCAATGGTCTCGTCTGTCTTGTCATCGGTAAAGTCTCATCGATGCAGACTCGTACCAACGCCTTCATCTTCCACCAAGCTGCGGTGGATCTTCTTGGTTCACTGATGATTCTTCTGCAGAGTGGGGTCCCGCTACCTGACCAAATGCCAGACGGCGTTCTCGGGTTGATAGTGTGCAACGTGTGGTACTCTAACTTTTCACTTTTCCTTCTGTTTGTTATTTCGACATTGAACCTGCTGTCGTTGACACTGGAGCGGTACTTCGCCATCGTTCACCCGTTCAGGTATCAAGCGGCCTTCGCCAAGCGCCCAAAACTGAAAGTTGGCGTGGTCATTGCGGTTTGTTGGATCTTGGGGACCGTTATTAAGTCTTACAGTCTCACCATCTTCAAGGTGCAAGACGGTAAGTGCGTCTCGAATGCTGCGAATCGCTCGAAAGTCATCGGGAGTCTGACGACCGTCCTGCAGTACATCGTGCCGGTGGCAGTGATGCTGTTCGCGTACATTCGCATCAGCGTGGAGCTCAAGAGAGGAGCGGCTAGGGTGGGACCGGCACCGTCCGTCATCAGCTCAGCTGCTGGAGCATCCAACGGGGACGGCAACGCCCAACCAGCAGGTTTGATGGAGTCCCTACTCCGAGCTAGACGTAACACATTCAAGATGCTCTGGATCGTCTTCATCACCTTCCTGGTGTGCTGGACTCCAAACCAGACCATCTTTCTCATGTTCAATCTCGGCTGGAAGCTCAACTACGACGGGTGGTACTACCTGCTGTCCGTGGCGATGGTGGCCGCTAATTGCTGCGTCAATCCGGTCATCTACGCCTTCAAGTACCGTCAATTCCGCAAGGGGCTACGCGAGCTATTCTGTAGTCGACGTATAAACCGTGAGGAGGCGGTGAATTCTGCAACTTCATGCAGACACTCTCTACACGGTGAGCTTGGCTGAGGTGGAGTGGGTCTTCACTTTATGAGTTTCCGACTATTGTAATCCGTTTGCAAATTTATCCGCCATGCATGGTAACATCGAAATACCTGTTTTATCCAGCAAGCTCCTTAGAAATGTTTGCCTCTTCGTAAGAAATGTCTGAATAAAACACTCTTTTCATCATTCATCAAAACTGATTATAGAGAGAGCACTGTCAATATTGAGCCATCCATGCGATTATACTATTTTGCACTCCACTGTCAAATTAATGCACGGCGCACAGTTTCATGTGGTGTTCTGCAGAAATTGCCTTTATTTTGGTTAAACTAATGCAAAAAAGTTATCTTTGCGTATCTTTATTGCATTAGTCGTTTGGTTCATCAGATCACTTAAATTGAAGCCGCACTTTGTCAATGTCTGACTGTATATAGTTTCATCTTTTCAAAGATATTTCGCTTACTCCAGTTAAACTACCCGAAGGTATAGGGACGGGCTAAAAACGACATATGGCTCTATAGTTTATGTGGGTTTTTGTTTTGTATGACCGGAAACTTTAATTGACATTTAGATTCTCGGGGGGTGGGGAGTGGTAAAACACGCGCAGATGTGAAAATCGTTATAGTAATTTGAAAGCAAAAGACTTGTTACTTAATTATATATACAACAAAATCTCAAATAATGTTATGATATTGATTTATCCATTTTTAAGAAGGGGAAAAGATTTGGGGACGGACATATCCCTTTCCCTTCTCTTAAATATAGAACCGCATCTTGATAAACGCATCGCATTACCTGGATATTATACCCTCATAATAACAAGCACACCGGCACTTGTTAATGGTATATACGAAGCATCGAAAAACGCAATATCCAAAAATGGGAAAGAACAACGGGGATTTGTTTTTCTCGAATCTTTAGCATTTTCCCAGTTCCCATGTTTGATTGTATAACACTACGTGTCAGATAAAACATGTCAAACTATTGATCATAATTAATAACTCTGTTGTTTACCAATGGAATAAAACCAACATTTCACATCATGTAAACAAGGCGTGACACAAAGGAGCGAGTTTCATCAGCACAAGAGGGTAAGATATAAATGCCATACGAAAAAATACCAACTTTCAGAATGTAGTTGCAGCGCTGGAGAAGTTGGCGGAAGGCGCGTGCTGCTTCCGACAGCTTCGAAAGGAATGTAGGATCACCCCTGATGTCATTGCACACCTCCTCCATCACCGACACCACGAAGTAACACTCCACGCGCACAACCATATTTTTTTCGGTTTTCAGGTTTTTTTTCTTCATTTTTAAACTTTATTCATCGAGGCCTACCATTGCACGAAGTTTCAAATCTTCAAGAGCTTTACTTTAATAATTACGCTAATTACCATGGCAACTTTTGCGCGAAAGTGACAATTTTCGTTTTCACGAAGTAACACTCAAGTTCCATTTACCATTGTAATGCATAGTGCGCACTCTTCTCAAATGCGAGCAAAAACGTTTCACGAAGTAACACTCTTCTTGTTTGAGCGCGCGCGCGCTGACCTCCGTTTCAACGAAGTAACACTCTTCTAGTGTTGTAATACAATGAAGCGTGCTACTTCGTGAAAACGAAAATGTACAGTTTCGCAGCTTTTTTGGTTTCACGAACTAGCACTCATCTTTTTTCTCTAATTTCTTGTTGTTTTAATACACAAACTGGTCAAAAACAGCAAATTTAATGACATCAATACATCAAGTGTCCACAACGAGAAACCCAACTAAAATACTGTGCAGTTTTGACGCAAAGTGTTGTTTTAGAAGGCGTTCAACTTCAGATGCCGTTTTCTCCGATTGCTAGTTTTTACTGGTATATACATGAGTGATACTTCGTGGTGTCGGTGACGATATTATGTGTTACGCCAAACGATCAAGGGGTTGTTTAATTACATCAGGGATGATTCTGCATTTCTTTAGAAGCTTTCGGCGGCAGCACGCGCCTTCTGCAACCGTCCCCAGCGCTGTATCGACATTGGAGGACGCCAAGTCAAAAGTGGCAGATTCTAAAAAGTGACTATTTTTTTCAAATGGCGTTTAAATCTCGCCCTCTTGCACAAAGCCGATGAAATTCGCTTCATAAAATTTGTCGTGTCTTGTTTACATGATCTGAAATGTTGGTTTAATTCTATTGGTGAACAAGTTATTAAGGATCAAAAGTAGAACATGTTGTTTTTGACACGTAGAAGGTAATATTAAGATATAACATTAATATAGTTGTTAAGATATAATATTAACTTTCACGGTCCACTTGGAATTGGTCCAGGTGCGTCAGCAGATTCACATGCACTTGCTACCAAGTTATGAAATAAAGAGGCGTTTGCTTTGTGTGTGTTATAACATTCTGACTCACTTTGAAAAGGTATAAATTGCTTTATTACTAGCTCTACCTCACGACCAATGCTTTCAAAGTGCTTATAATTGTAAGAAATTTTTCATTCAATCAATGAATTTAGGCCTATTCAACATTATATAGAACCAATAACTTTGGTCAGCATGATCACCGGTATTTCATATTTTCACGTCCGAAGACGTAAAATTAACTGTAGTTTCTTTCAACGAAACTTGTTCACAACAGCGCCGTATAAACACCAACAGTTTATGTATTTCAATGTTAATTAAAATTATACTTGGCTGTGTGAATAAAACTAATTTGAAGTAAGTGAGCTGTGAGCAGCATTTAATTGTCAAAAACCAAATGCTTCATCAGTCGACAAACATTTAGACATAACCGATTCAAGGACAGGCCCAGAGGGGTCCGCTCATATTTAAGTCCGACGCCTCATAGGTCCGACGCCTCATAAGTCCGAAATTTCGGACTTATGAGGCGTCGGACTTATGAGGCATAAAATGTATTTGCTCCGACGCCGCATAAGTCCGACGCCTCATTATGTCTGACGCCTCATGAGTCGGAAACAGCGTTTGTCCATTGTCGGACTTATGAGGCGTCGGACCTATGAGGCGGAATGTATGCCTAAGTCCGACGCCTGTCGTCGGACCTATGATACGTCGGACTTGATAGGACACGGCCCCGGTCCAGATCCCCGTGGTTTGGGGACCGGCCACCAGCTGCCGTTGCCAATTTTGAAAAGCCCGGGGTATCACTTTTTTAAATGAACATTTCATTAATCCGTATAGTGGAAGAGGGGCCTGGGATGACATGGGTAGGATCATTTGCATATATCCCAAAAATAACATATAGCGAATTATTAAAAAAAAAAAAACGCGTTGAAATGGGGGGGGCGGGGGGGCTCGATTTTTTGTATTCAACAAACTGGTACAGGGATGTCTTTATCACTTTTCTTCTCGAAATTAGGAGGGTGTGGGGGGGGGGGGGGAGGCGTAGGGCATGGCCCACATTGCCCCCTCATGGGCGGATCCAGGAATTGCTGCGGGGGGGGGGGGTCATCAGCTAATCCATGCTGAAATGTAGACGGGGTTTTAATTCTCCGGAAACTTTGCCTCCGTAAAATCAATAGGTGGTGGTGGTGGGGGGGGGGGGGCTCACCATTCTTCCAGTGGGTGCGCTACTCAAATCCGACCATCTTTATTACAGAATAGTGTACAAATAACCCAGCTGGCTCTGTCCGCATTGTGCACAGGCGGACATTATTACCAGTAAAATTGTTTGGGGTGTCAGAGCAGGGGGGGGGGGGGGGTCACATTATTTGTAATGTATTTCTATGGAAAAAAAACTTGAGTCAGAGCTGGGAGGTTGAACCCCCCCCCCCCTTCCCACTCTCTGGATCTGCGCCTGCCCCTCCTTCCAAATCCACATGATCAAAACATATCCAATGTCAAGGATAGTAGTGATAAAAGCAGTGTTGTAGGTCTCAAAACCGGTCAGACCACCTTTTGCCGGTCTCGGTCTCGGTCTCGGGAGCTGTGGTCTCGGTCTTGGTTTCGGTCTCGGTCCCCTTTGGTCTCGATATTTTGGCTGGTTTCGAGTCGAGACCAGCCAAAAAGTGAGGGGGGGGGCGGATTCCGCCCCCGGCCCTTTTAGGGTTAAGTAAAGTATCAGTTTAGGGCAAATGTGACTGCAGTGTGATGCTAATGGACATGTCTCTCTTCACTTTCTAGTGAGTGAGGCATAGTCCAATAACCATTGCTCCTCTTCTTATTTCTCGTTTTTATTGTGGGATGATCTGTTGAAACAAGCGCTTAATAGCCATCCTCATTGATTCCAAATACAACTGAGATTTAAATCTTATGAATCAAGACTGAAACATTATTTTTACCGTCAGATTTTGTATTTTGAATATGGGGAACAATTCAACTCTTTTTCCCTAGAAATATTTGTGATTTTTTTTCTATTTTCCTTTTCAATTTTTCCTTTATTCGTGGAGGCGGGAAAACGTTTTTGTTTTGTTTTTCATTATATTTATTAATGGATATTCATCAATTCGTAGACCGTTAAATTGGTATTAGTGGTGGACAGCTGAATTTTGTGATCTCTTTATTAAAATAGACACGACCTGGGAATAGAGCATGCAAATTACGTGAAATGTTCACAGTTACTACTCAATAACATGTTCTTTATCCCAATTATATTTTTTTCACAAAATGGAGCGTGCCATTTTGTTTTTATCATACGGTCACTTTCTTTTTGACTCGCCATCTTTCATCTGTGATAAACACAAATTGAGCTACTGCCATGGTCACACAAAAATAGAGTCTAATTGCCTGCCTCGTCTCCTTCCTAAATGTCAATTGCATTTGCATGAGTCGAGGAGAATTGTGTTCCATTAATCGCTATATGCTGTTTACGGCCATCTCAATAAACTATTAATATATTGGCAATATGTCGTACTTGTTAATCACTAAAATATTCAAGTAAATCGCCCAGCAAAGTAGCCGATGCGGGCGATACGATGGCACGGCACAAAACACAGAGAGGTGTGCGCACTGAGCCATGAATCCTAAAAGTACATCTCGCCCACCACATTCAGTTTGTGACAGCGCCCTTCTATTGTGTCGGCCATATTCTCAAATAGGCTAATGACGATGATGACAGCGGGCAGATTAACAGAAGATAGATCA